CTATTAAAAATTAAAAAATTATCAGATTTTGAAAGTCCAATAGATTATTGGATTTGAGTAATATTCTATTTTGATTTTGGAAAATAATGAAGGGTTCTGTCAAGATTTATTATTATAATAGATTGAAAAATAATAAATGTTAAGTGTAGCTGTCAGAATTCCAGATTAAATAACCAATGAGAATACAGGACAATATTCATAAATACAAAAATATAATGTGACTTGATATAAAGGAGTTTGTACAAAATTGAAGATAATTAAAATACTCTTTAGTATTTTTGTATAACAATTTATTCTTAATTTAGTTTTATATTAAACAAGAATAAGATCATATTTTGATGAAGGTTTTGGATTTTAAATTGAAATATATATGGATATTTAAAAATTTAAATTGAATTTCTATTATGAATAAATCATTTTCATAATTAGAAAATGCTTTTTCTATTATTAAATAAAATTTACAAACATGAAAAAGGAAGAGGATATTGTTAAAGTTTAATCATATGAAATTTATAAAAATTAAGAAATTGGCAGAGGATAATTTGGAGTAGTTTATCAATGTAAAGATTTAAAGAATCCATAATTAAAATTGTGTGCAAAAGTTTAAGTTTTTAATAATATAGATTGTTGAAGAAAAATTAGATGATCCAAAAACAATAAGAGAAATTGAATTAATGAAAATGATAATGACATGTGCAAAGGGAAACAAAAATATTGTAGGAGTGGAATATGTAGATTTAAATGCAGAAAGAATTATATTAATTTTGGAAAAATGTGAATCAGATTTATAATCAATAATTGATAAGAAAAAAAAGGAAGAGTAGAAATATTTTAAACCAAGTGAAGCATTAAATATACTAAAACAATTAGTTAATGGTTATAAAATGTTATATCAAAATAATATTATACATAGAGATCTTAAACCAGCAAATATACTTGTTTTGAATGGAGTTTATAAAGTAAATTATAATTAAAATGTTATTAGATAGCAGATTTGGGTTTGGCAAGAGTATTTGAAGGAAATACTGAATTAACAAAAGTAGGAACACCAAAATATGTTGCTCCTTAATTGTATCTTGATAATAGATTCTCAAATTCAGCTGACATTTTTTCAGTAACATATATATTTTATATTTATTAAGTTAGGAATAATTATTTATGAATTAATTTTTGGTGGATTACCTTATGTTGCAAATACATAAATATAAATAAAAAAGGCTTTAAGAAATTTAGAAAAGGTTCCAGTCACAGTAAATAGAGAATGGCCAGAGGTAAGAATGTAGAAATATTTTAGATGACTTATGAATTTGCTGATTTAATTGAATATATGCTCAAATTTCATGAAAAAGACAGAATAAGTTGGGAAGAATTATTTAAACATCCATTAATTTAAGAGGAATCTAATTTAGTAGTGAATCAATCAGGGTATATAATTACATTATAATTAAGATTAATTTCTAATGATTTAGATTCAGATGAAGAAGAATAAGAAGAAGAACCTGTTTAAGTGTAAAAGCCAGTTGAAAAATAAAACAATGTTTAATAAATTTCTACTAGTATTCAAAATCAAGCTCAACCAACATTCCCTGTACCTTTTCAAATGACTTAAAAGTAATAATGCTTTATAAATCCTTAAACACAACCTCAATTCACAGGTGGGAAAGTGTTTACTGCTCCTTTTAATCCTAATAGTTCAATTCCAACTGCAAATCCTCCTAATCCTAATATTCCAAATCCTAATTCTATGATTCAATCAGCATAACCAAAACCATTTATTAATCCTCCAAATTAAAGATTATAAAGCATTATAACTATGCATATTTTAGGATAACCTATTTAATTTTAATAGGTTAAAGCAGTATCAGATTAATTATTTTAAACAGGATTTGTTTTTGATTAAACATTAGAAAGTTTAGAAAAATTTTTGTAATTATAATTTTTAATGATTTTAGAAATATGTAACTAACATTAAAATAAGAATTTTTTGGAATAAAATTGTATCTTCATTGTTTATCATAATGTTGTTATTAACATTCAAGTTCTATGATAGCTTAAAATTAAAAAAATCCAAATTTTTAAAGTTTTTATTCACTTTAAGTTGTTGATTCAGAAATTTAGAAAAAAATCAAATATCATTAAGTAATAACTTAGGAAATAGAAAAATATAATTTAACTTCATTTTATCCTGTATCTGCTATAAATCCAGATTTTGTTAAATATATCTAGAAATTGAATAGAATTACATAAGTCAGAGGAGTATTCGATTATTAAAATGATCGAAAATATTTTCCAGATTATTTATCGTAATAATATAATTATTAAATATATAGAATGTTATATTTTTTGGAAAGACTAAAAGAAGTATAATAACCTTCTTTTACAGATTTATATAATTTAATATCTGATATTTAAAAAAATAAAAAAATTGAGCAACTTGTGACAGATTATCTTAATAAGAGACTTTGCAATTGAAATATTAAGTAATAATAATAAATTATTTTATTAATTAATTTCTTATATATTTTTCATGATTCTCCAACCATTACAATAATTAGTATTCATCAATAGAGACAAAAAGAATCTTTAAGGACTCACTCCCTATTAGAGATAGAGATATAATGATCATCAATAATAATAAAGAAGTTATAAGAAATTTAAGCAACCAAAAAAATTCTCAACACAATTTCCATAAATAAAAAAAGATGATACATAATATGAATTCAGAATATTTCATCATGTTACAAATATGAAGAGTGCACATTTCTAATCAAAATATACATTGTCTATGGGAAGCATTCCTAATTTATTATTACATACATATTTTGATTAAATTGTATTTTATGATGTGGCTAAGTTAAAATCTGAAACAACCAGAATACCACTTGAAGCTTTAGGATTAGATGTACTTGATAATATTTGTGCTGTTGCTGGTATGAATGGTGATATTTTGTTAATTAATTTGCTTAATGGAACAATAGATAAATAGATAATTAATACAAAAAGAGATTTTATCAATCATGTACATTTTTATTAAAATTACTTGATTGCTAATGATAATAGAGGAATTATTAGGATATTTGATTATTAAAATGGACTCAAAGAGATATACTAATATTAAGATAAAGCTTCAGTTAATTTAACTAGTGTAAATTAAAGTAAATAAATTGCTTTTTGTGGTGATCGACTAGGATTAAATGTTTTAGATGTCTAATCAGATTCTATTATACATAATTTAGATCCTCATAGTGAATTTGGTTTTGCTGTTGCTTTTAATCCTTGTAAAGGTTATGAATTAGCTTCATCTAGTGAAGATGGATCAACTGTCATCTATGATTTACGTTCACCAAAATTACCACTTTAGTAATTTATTGGATCAGATTTCCCAATCTATAATATAACTTATTCAAAAAATGGATCTCATTTATTTTTGGCTGAATCCAATTCCTATTTGCATATTTTAAATGCGTAATATATTATATTATTATATAGATCTCATTATGATTCTGTCTAAAGTATTTAATTATATGGAGAAATCTCAGGTATAGCGAATGATACATATGATGAAAACAGATTTTACTTTAGTACAAGTTGTTCATTTGGTGATGGTATATGTGAATTTTCAAAATGAAATTATTTTTATTATCATTTATTTTGAATTTTAACTCTAGTAAATTTTATTCTAAATTCTTATATTTTAATAATTATAAATAAAATTGTTCTATTTTTAGAATTTTTAATCAAAAATTATTTAATTATATTCTAAATGAGTAGATATATTAAGGATTAATATCCAAAATAACAATTTCAGTACATAATAAAAATAATTAATTTTGTAACTCAATAAATATTTTATCAACTTTAGAAAATTTTTAATCTTTTAAAGTGATTACATTAAAATTAAACAATCAAGAGTGAAATTAAGTACCATAGAATATGTGATTTAAATGTTCTACAAGGAGAAATGAAAGTGAATTAGCTAAAGGTTTTCTAACCAATCTGGGACTTAGACCTTTTGTAAATCTAAGAATAATTAAAATAATTAACCCATATAGTCCTTCATTTTAATATGTGCTTTTAAATCTTTACATAATTGTCATTTAATCATCATAATAATTGGTTTATAATCTGGCTCTAAGAATTTCAAATGGATGACTAGCACAAGTACCTACTAGACCTGCAATCATTCCAGATAAGAAAGTAATTGATGGGGAAAAACCAGAATCAGCCGTTAATAATATCTCATGCATTTTACGATAAACAACATAATAGATCTAATGTTCATGTTGAATTAATACTCCTGCAAATAGACTGTCTTTTATTGAACAAGTTAGACCTCCTTTAAAGAAGCTCATTAAACCTTCTTATTTTGCAATAGTATTAGCTGTCTTCAATAAGGATGTGTATTAATACCCAGGAACTTCAGCCCGAGTTTCAATTAAGAGAATTGGATTAGTAATGAAATTGGATATTCTTTAATATTAGATTTGTGATGTACCCTCTGGCAAAAAAGGAAGCAAGAAAGTCTTATGAAACATTACGTTGTACGCTTGTAACATAGGATAACATTTGAAAATATAGGAAGCCAGCGCTCATATTTCTAACTATTGCAGGGCCTTATGTAAAGAAAGAAAATTCTACGCAAACCACGATAAAATCCATTGAGTCCTTCATTGATTAGTATATATTCCACTGATCCATATGCACTTGTTAATTTATAGTTTTTGGGATTGGACTTAACAATCATGACCATTTTAATAACCTCTAGAGGTTAAACAGCAAGTGTAGATATCAAAGAAGCAGTGGCTCCAAGTAATCCTTAGAAATGGACTCGTTACTACTCTACCATCAATATTAAATTTAATAGTGATCATTTGAAATAAACCCAATAATGTATATTATCTTTGACGGGCTATTTTTAAATTAATTTCTAGAATGTCTAGGAACACGTGTTATTATATATATGTTAATGTAGTTTTTGCGCAGAATCATAAATATTTTTAATGCATACTAAATAGAAGGCCTTTGGGTTATTGCTACTCTTTATGCTATCTGGCATTTAGGTGATGACTCAAGATTTGACTGAAGAGTAAAGGAAGTTATTGGAATAGTAATAAGAAACACATGAATTTCAAGCTGAAACAGGTAGATTGATGGATATCCTTATTAATTCTCTATATACTTAAAAGGAAATATTTCTAAGAGAATTAATTTCAAATGCTGCTGATGCATTAGATAAAATTAGATTTTTGAGTGTGAAGAATCCAGAAATTCTAGGTGATAAAACTGAATTAGCAATAAGAATTGAAATAAATACAGAAGAAAAGACAGTTTCTGTTACAGATAGTGGTATTGGTATGACAAAGAATGATTTAATATCAAATTTGGGTACAATTGCAAAATCAGGAACCACTTAATTTATTGAAGCTATTAAAGGAGGTAATGTAAATTTGATTGGTTAATTTGGTGTTGGTTTTTATTCTTGTTTCTTAGCAGGATAAAAAGTTACAGTAGCATCAAAAAATACAGATGATGATTAATATATTTGGGAATCATAAGCAGCTCATTCATTTGCAATATCAAAAGATCCTAGAGGAAATACATTAGGTCGTGGTACATAAGTTACTATTCATTTGAAATAAGATGCTGTTGAATTTGCAGAAGAAAGTACAATAAAAGAATTAATAAAAAAATATTCAGAATTTATTAATTTCCCTATTTATTTGAAAGTGACTAGGGAAGTGTCAAAATAAGTAGAAGAAGAACCTGAATAATAAGATCAATAAGAAAATACAGATGATGATGAAGTAAAAGTTAAAGATGATGATGATGATGATGCAGATACAAAGAAGAAAGCTACTAAAACAATTAAAGAAAAAGTATCAGAATGGGTTTAAATTAATGAAAATAAGGCTATTTGGTTAAGACCAAAAGAAGAGATTTCTGATGATGATTATAAGAAATTCTATAAAGTATTATCAAAGAATTCAGGTGAAGATCCTTTTAATTGGGTTCATTTTAAAGCAGAAGGAGAAGTTGAATTTACATCTCTTATTTATGTTCCTAAAAGAGCACCAAGTGATATGTTTGATAATTATTATGGTAAATAAACAACAAATTTGAAATTATATGTTAGAAGAGTATTAATTAGTGAAGAATTCGAAGATATACTTCCAAGATATTTAAGTTTTGTTAAAGGTGTTATTGATTCAGATGAATTACCATTAAATGTTAATAGAGAAACACTTTAATAACTTAAAATGTTAAAGGTTATAAGTAGAAAGATAGTTAAAAAGATTTTAGAATTATTTTAAGATGCTGCTTCTTATGATGATGAAGATGAAGAAGATACAGAAGAAGGTGAAGAAGATGATAATATGGCAGAAACTACACCTGAAGAATAATAAAGATTGAAAGATGAAAAGAGAAAAAAGAAGATTGATGAATATAATGAATTTTGGAAAGAATATGGAAAGAATATTAAATTGGGTGTTATTGAAGATTCTTCAAATAGATAGAAATTGGCTGAATTAACAAGGTATTTTAATATTTTATATTTATTAGATGGTACTCAAGTAAAAATTCAACTGAATTAACATCATTTGATGATTATATTGAGAGAACAAAACCAGGATAAGATTCAATCTATTATTTAGCTGGTGAAAATAAGGAATAATTATTAGCTTCACCAATTATTTAAGGATTATTAAAGAAAGGATATGAAGTATTATTATTAGATGATCCAGTTGATGAATTTACATTTTAACATTTAAATGAATACAAATAAAAAAAATTAGTTAATGTTGGAAAAGGTGATTTCAAATAACCAGAAGATAATGATGAATAANTAATATATATGGGAATCATAAGCAGCACATTCATTTGCAATATCAAAAGATCCTAGAGGAAATACATTAGGTCGTGGTACATAAGTTACTATTCATTTGAAATAAGATGCTGTTGAATTTGCAGAAGAAAGTACAATTAAAGAATTAATCAAAAAATATTCAGAATTTATTAATTTCCCTATTTATTTGAAAGTGACAAGGGAAGTTTCAAAATAAGTAGAGGAAGAACCTGAATAATAAGATCAATAAGAAAATACAGATGATGATGAAGTAAAAGTTAAAGATGATGATGATGATGATGCAGATACAAAGAAGAAAGCTACTAAAACAATTAAAGAAAAAGTATCAGAATGGGTTTAAATTAATGAAAATAAGGCTATTTGGTTAAGACCAAAAGAAGAGATTTCTGATGATGATTATAAGAAATTCTATAAAGTATTATCAAAGAATTCAGGTGAAGATCCTTTTAATTGGGTTCATTTTAAAGCAGAAGGAGAAGTTGAATTTACATCTCTTATTTATGTTCCAAAGAGAGCACCAAGTGATATGTTTGATAATTATTATGGTAAATAAACAACAAATTTGAAATTATATGTTAGAAGAGTATTAATTAGTGAAGAATTCGAAGATATACTTCCAAGATATTTAAGTTTTGTTAAAGGTGTTATTGATTCAGATGAATTACCATTAAATGTTAATAGAGAAACACTTTAATAACTTAAAATGTTAAAGGTTATAAGTAGAAAGATAGTTAAAAAGATTTTAGAATTATTTTAAGATGCTGCTTCTTATGATGATGAAGATGAAGAAGATACAGAAGAAGGTGAAGAAGATGATAATATGGCAGAAACTACACCTGAAGAATAATAAAGATTGAAAGATGAAAAGAGAAAAAAGAAGATTGATGAATATAATGAATTTTGGAAAGAATATGGAAAGAATATTAAATTGGGTGTTATTGAAGATTCTTCAAATAGATAGAAATTGGCTGAATTAACAAGGTATTTTAATATTTTATATTTATTAGATGGTACTCAAGTAAAAATTCAACTGAATTAACATCATTTGATGATTATATTGAGAGAACAAAACCAGGATAAGATTCAATCTATTATTTAGCTGGTGAAAACAAGGAATAATTATTAGCTTCACCAATTATTTAAGGATTATTAAAGAAAGGATATGAAGTATTATTATTAGATGATCCAGTTGATGAATTTACATTTTAACATTTAAATGAATACAAATAAAAAAAATTAGTTAATGTAGGAAAAGGTGATTTCAAATAACCAGAAGATAATGATGAATAAAGAAAGAAATAAAAGGCTTTAAAGAAAGTATTTTAACCTTTAACTGATTGGTGGAGAAAATTATTATCAGAAAGTGTTGATTCAGTTATTATTTCTTAAAGATTAATTGATGATCCAATTATTGTTGTTTCATCTGAATCAGGATATTCTGCAAATATGGAAAGAATTTCAAAAGCTTAAGCTTATTCAAGTAAAGGTGGTTCACATTAATTTGGTAAGAAGATTGTAGAAATCAATCCAAATCATTAAGCAATCTAAGAATTATTATAAAGAGTGAAAGATGATCCAGATTAAGAAACAGAAGAAATGGCTAGAGTTTTATATGAAGCTGCTTTAGTTAATTCAGGTATTTAATATATATATATATATTTTAGGTTATTCTATTCCTAATCCTGAAAAGTTTGCTAGTAGATTCTATAAATTATTTAATTCTGCTTTGGGTATTGATAGAGATGCTCCAGTCAAAGAATTCGAAGTAGAAATCGAAGAAGAACCAGAAACTTCATCAGAACCACCTTAAAGTGAAGATGGAACTAAATGGGAAAAAGTAAATACAGATGATGCTTAATGGGAAACTGTAAGTAATGATAAAAGAGATGATTTATGATTAATTTATGCATATGTATTGTATAATTTATATCTAAATCATTTACTTTTTGTTAATTCTTTGTAGACAATTGCAAAATCTTTCTTTCCAAAATGTTCATTCAATTTATTATAAATTTATTAAGCATGTTATCCTAATTATGTATCAGTTCCACTTTTCTTAGATGCTTCAATAGCAATTCCTAGATCTTTGAGCATTAATTCAACCATAAAGCCTCCATCATAATCTTTGGAACTAGGTACATTAGGCATAACACCTGGTGCTGGATTATAAGTATCTACAGACCAACATCTTGAAGAACTGACAGACATAATTGAACTTAACATAGCTGGATCCATTCCCATATTCTTTCCCAAAGCCAAAGCTTCAGCAACACTTATCATTTAAATAGCCAATGCCATATTATTACACATTTTAGCAATTTATCCTCCTCCAATCTTTCCACAATGGAAAATATTTTTTCCCATTTCTTTGAGAATTGGAGATATTTTATCATATAATTCTTTCTCTGCTCCAACCATGAATGTTAATGTTCCTAATTTAGCACCACCAACACCACCTGAGACTGGAGCATCTGTATATATGTTTTTAGTATCTTATGCCATTTTAGCCAAATCATAAGAAGCATAAGGTGAGATAGTAGATGAATCAATCAATGTTTTGTTTTATTTTTTGAAGATTTCTTAAGCTACACTTTTGACTATCTTATCATTTGGTAACATAGTAATAATAGTATCTGCATTTGCAGCAACATCTGCTATTTAAGACACAGGTTTAATATTAGTAGATTCAATTTTGGATTACCATGAAGGACTGGCATCATATGCATATACAACTCGAGTTTTAGCTAGATTATGAGCCATTCCAATCTATATTAATCATATAATATATTGATACTCCCATATTGCCTAAACCTATGAATCCAATTGTGTTACTAAATCCAAATGCTGAAATAAACTTACGCATTATTTATTTAATTATTAACCGTAATAAATAAATATTTGAAATACAAATGAACTCCAACTCTGATTAGTAAGATTTCATTTATAATTTACATAGTCATTTCCTATTCAAAGTATTGTTAATTGGAAATTCTGGTGTGGGAAAATCATGTATGCTTATGCGTTATTCTGTACTATTTCATATAATCTTAAGGAAAATTAATTCACAAACAACTTTTATAACACAATAGGAGTTGATTTTAAAACTAAAACTATTGCATTAGGAGAACATAATGTTAAATTGCAAATTGTAAATCATTATTTAATTATATTAGTGGGATACTGCAGGTCAAGATAGATTTAGAACAATCACATGTAGTTATTATAGAGGAGCTTAAGGAATTATAATAGTATATGATATTACTGATAGAGAATCTTTTGAAAATGTAAAAACTTGGATGGCAGAAATAGATAAGTAAATCATTCAAAATATATTAGATATGCATCAGAATCTGTAAATAGATTATTGGTAGGTAATAAAGCAGATATTACTGAACGAAGAGAAGTATCTTATGAAGAAGGATTAGAATTATGTAATATACCTTTAATTATATTTTTAGCAAGATTATATTAAATTCCATTTTATGAAACTAGTGCTAAATCATCTATCAATATTGAAGCTGCTTTCACTCATATTACAAAAAACATATTAAATAGAGAACTTCATAATACTAGAGCTGTAGTTAGGAAGACATCAAATTTAAGATTACAAAATAGATAATAACAATAATAACAAGAAAAGAAAAAGTAAGAAGATCTTTGCTGTTGACTTTTATTATTATATATTTAGACCTATATATAATTCCATATATAAAAGTATAATAAATCAACATCTAGCATATTTTAATCCAGAATTTCCAATTCCATTCTTTTATTAATGTACTAATTTTAGATGCAAATTTCTAAGTGATTATTCTGATAAATTTTGATTATCTGCACTTAATCTTCCTTATGCATCTGGCTTTGAACCAGATTTATGATAAGATTTGATTTACTACTTAAATGTTGTAGTATTTAAAGAACGTTCATTTATCAAATCACCCAAACCTCCTCCACTCTTTCTTGCACTCATTGGTGTTCCATTTACATATTGTCTCATTCTATCTATTGTGGAATCTTTTAATATATATAAATAATTTACTACTCTAAGTATTACTTTCCAAATTGATCACCACTTTAGGAGTATCATATTTACCTAAACCTAATTTACCCATAAAACTTTAAAGTTCTTCCTTTCTTTTACTAGTCTTACTATGATCTTTAACATCAACTTAAAAGTTCATATTTTAAGTGACTTTAGAAGTTACTGATTAATCAGATCTATAATTGAATTGATTATTCAAACTTGGACTTTGCAATAATTGTTTTTAAGCTGAAGGTTTCTTTTAGAAAAATGAAGTTGTTCTATTACCTGAACCATATTCAAAGATTTCCTCTTATGATTTACTTGGTGTCTTGTACTATTAAATTTATGCCTCAGCCTTTTTATTTCTTCTGATATCAAGATTAGAGAATAAATCATCTTATTATTATTATTAAGGAGCTGCTTAATCAACTACTTTTCTTTATTAAACTGTATTGAATAATGTTGTTAAATCATCTAAAGAAGATGCACTTCTAAATTTTTCCAAAATATTTTAATAATTAGAATGTTATTCACCAACAACAGGCTTCTAAGTTTAATGAGATGAAGGTAATTTTAAACCTGGTTCAATTTTCTAATCTAATACACCTAAAATCATTTATCTATGTTAGGCAATTTATGCTTTGTGTTCCTATTCAGAAACCATTGAATCTGGTACATGAACATCAAATTAAATTTGATTACTGGTTGTTGAAGCCTTTTTAGATCCCAAAATATTCCAATCCCATTCTTTAGGAGATTTTAGAATTTCAGCATCACTCCTCCATATATCAGATTTTTCTGATTTTTCAATAACAGATGGTTCCATAGCTAAAGGTTGTTAATCTTCAGCCATTTGTTTAAAGGAGTTAAATTTACTTTTGTACTATTCAATAAGGTCTTTAGATGATTGACCAAATGATGATTTTGGTTCATGTTTGATTTCATACTTAAGATCTTTGCGAGGTTCAGGTTTAAAATCAGGAAGAGTTTCTTCAAATTTAGGTAGTTCGAGAGTATTCTCTTAAGAGGTAATATCAATTTCAGACATGCACAGGCAATTTGTTATTTTTTTTATTGTTAATTTTTATTCACTAATATCTGTTAAAATATAATATATAAAGTATTTAATCACGACCCCGTTGTTCTAATTTTTGACTCTAATGTAGCAATCATCACTTATAGTTCTTCATTATTGTATCGATTATATAGTGATATTTATGGAGAAGCACAAGCACAAATACTTTAATGACAAATACATCCCTTTTTTAAACATCTAATAATATTATGGAATATATTACTTCCCACAAAAAATGTAACTTAAATACATATAATTGGAACAGATTTTGCAAACACTTCTATCATATTTTTCCTACTTATTTGCAAATTCAATTATTTTAACATGATCATACAAACTTATTATACAATTACGATGATTAATTTCTTAATCCATCATTTGTTTAAATTTCTCAAACAACTTAAATATAATTTAAAAAATATACTTTTTACCATGCTTATTTTGTGAACTTTATCTCTTCAGCCATTAAGGCTACCTTACAAAGCAACCATTCTAAAGGGAAACTCACCTAAAATAGATAATCTCCATTTTAAATACCTTCTTTAAGTTTCCATCCATACGATATTCTTATGTTGCTTTATCGAATTCTTTTAGCCATTAAATTGGAGCAACATTAACAGCTTCACTACAATTTAGTCCTTATTTTTATTTAATATAAATACCATGAGAAAAACCTGCATGATATGTAGCACCCAAAGTTAATATTAATTCACCTGGTTGTTGATCAGTTCTTAGAATTGGGATTCCATTCTCAATTAACTCTACAGGTGAGATTTAACAAGTGATATCATACAATAAGCGAGGGTTTGATTTCCTTTCATTCTCATAGGCTTTATTGAAGAATTAAAGAAACTTATCACTGTAACTAGGTGGCACAGCATACCTAGTTGATTTTTAATCAAATAGATTACCATGTCTTTGCAGCTCCTGCATGCATATAATTCATTGAATTTAAATTAAGATCTTCCTTATGCCAACAGAAGTTAGCATATTTCATACCCAAATACAACCAAGGTACTGAGATACCATTAATTTCATTCTTTTCCTAAAGAACTTAGAAAATGGAATTCCTGTTTTTATTTATTCCATTTAGATTCCCTAACTATCCTTCCTAAAACCCTGTGGCATATTTAGATGCTAAAAGATCTGCTGCATACTCCACTTCAATATCTTCGTATTTAGTTGGATAATCTATAATTGACCAGAACTCTATTTCATTCTATCGAATTTGATTAGACACTTCTCTTACTCCTTACAATCTATGACTGCACTCAAACTTATTAGCAAGATTCATATACTCCTAGATAGTAAATCCTAGAGTGTTAGAACCAAATATCTATGCTAATAAAGGAAAATACCTCTCCAGCTCTTTGAGTGTTTAATGTTTAGATACGAGTTTGTATTCTCTTACCCTTAAGCTTAGACTCTAACTGAGAGAAGAATTTCTTATTCGGAATCACTAAATCTGAAGGTAGAATCAGTTTTACAATTCCAAATTACTCATAACCTTTGCTATAGAGTTCATCAATCATTTTGAATGGATCATTAAAAAAACTTTGATCAATGGCTATTACAGGAACATCTTTAAGTTAAAAATCTTTTGAGGTGTAGGGGAAACGTTCTAGTAATAATTTTGGATGAGGCTCAGTGAAATCATCGCTAGTCTTTGATTTTTTGGTTTATTTAGAATGCTTTTTTGTATGTATCATAATGATGAGAAGATAATTTAATTTAATAATTTTAACTCCCACTTATATGTTCTGCTTTAATCCTAATTTATTTAAAAGATACATTTGTTTTAAATTCCCAATTATTATATAATAAAATTATACCCGTATACCAGGTATAGAATCTGATAAATTCTATTAGAAAATATATAAAATATATAATTCATTTAGAAGCTGTTTCTTAATCTTCTTTTTTTATATCTAAATATGCCTTATAATTTGATTTAGGTGCAAATGGTCTTTCTCCCAAAACTTCAATTATTTTTTATAAGTCGAGAGTCTCTTTTTCTAACAAAGTTGAAGCCAATCTAAAATCGTATTAAAAAAAAATACTTATTAACATATTCTTTTTTCTCATTTATTAATAATCTTGTTCTATTTGTCTGTTCTTCAATAAGCTTTCTAATTTCATCATCTATCTATTTATTAGTCCCATCACTATAAGGTTTCTAAAATTATCCTTCTTAGAATCCAACATATCCAATGTTCTCATTCATACCAAACTTGGTAACTATACTATGAGCAACATCATAAGCTTTTTTTAAATCATCATATGCTCCAGTAGTGACCTATCCAAAGAAAATCTCTTCAGCCACTCTACCTCCCAAAATACAGCATATTCTATCCAATAATTCTTATTTAGTCTCCAAACTGGATTCATTAGGTAAATATTAAGCATAACCTAACGAACCCTTACTTCTAGGAATAATAGTTAATTTAAGAAGTGGATGACCTCCCTTTAAAAACCAACTAACAACAGCATGACCAGATTCATGAAATGCTACTGTCTTTCTTTCTTCTTCACTAATGATTCTCTTCTTCTCTAAACCAGCCATAACTCTTTCTGATGCCATCTCAAAATCATTAGCATCCACAAATGACTTATTAGCTCTGGCTGCCATAATTGCTGCTTCATTACAAAGATTAGCTATTTCAGCTCCACTAAATCCTGGAGTTAGAGTAGCCAATCTTCTTGCATATTCTTCTATAGTCTTAGAAGGTTCCAATTATATTGGAGCCAAATGAACCATAAATATCTATTTTCTACCTTCAATATCTGGTAATGTGATATCAATTTATCTATCAAATCTACCAGGTCTAGTAAGTGCTGGATCAAGTAGTTCTTTTCTATTTGTTGCTGCCAATACTATTACATTACTATCTGTTCCAAATCCATCCATCTCAACTAATAATTAATTTAAAGTATTATCCCTTTCATCATTTCCACCAATTTTTGCATCTCTCTTTCTACCTACTGCATCAATTTCATCTATAAAAATAATACTAGGAGACTTTGCTTTTGCTTATTTAAATAAATCTCTAACTCTACTAGCACCAACTCCTACAAACATTTCAACAAAATCTGATCCACTTACAAAGAAGAATGGAACACCAGCCTCACCTGCACAAGCCTTTGCTGCCATAGTTTTACCAGTTCCTGGAGGTCCTGCCAATAAAGCACCTCTAGGTAATTTTGCTCCCATTTCTTTGTATTTTTTTGGTTTTTTAAGAAAGTCTACAAATTCTTTAATTTCTTATTTAGCTTCATCCAATCCAGCCAAATCTTAAAATTTAACTTTTACATTTTATTCAAATCCAAATTACTTTACATTTGATTTACCAAAACCAAATACATCATTTCCACCACTACCTCCTTTTCCAGCATTTCCAATACCACCTTTTAGTGATTTAAAGATATAAAAAATCAATACAGCTGAAACTCCATAATACAATAAATTTAATGCTCTATCAATCATTTCTCCTTTATCTAATTCAATTTCAAATGAGACAGGTATAAATTATTCAGGATAAACTCCTTTTTCAGTTTAAAAATGTTCTAGAGTTTCTAAGAAATGATCTACATTTCCTAGAATTAATTTTTTAGATTCTCCTCTAGTTGTTATGATTGAAGCTTAATTAACTTTGCTCTTATCATTACTATATACTTTAATTTAACTGACTTGATTAGTTTCTAAATAATTCTTTAGAAACTCAGTATAAGTGATTTCTTCTTCTATATTTAAATAAGTATAAAGTGCAGCTAAACCACTTACACCTAAAAACATTAAAATATAATTGCGATTCTATGGATTCTTTAAATACTCTGTAAACTTACTAAAATCGATTTTTGGATATTAAAATTTTTTCTTCTCTTATTGTTATTATTATTATTATTATTATTCTTCATCTTCTTAATTTTCTTATTTTTCTTATTTTTCCTCTTATTTCTCTTTTTTTTCTTATTAATCTTATTTCAACTCTTCCTTCTTCTAATTCTCTTCCTAGACATTAAAGGATTTTGGATCATAAGTAAATTGGAACTTCTTTTTCTATGGCTTTTCCACTATGACAATTATGCTAATAAAAGTACCTTTTGGAATTTGATCATCTTATTATTAATCCTCTTTAATGGTCTTTTCTGCTTCCTCTTAATTAATGTTTTCTGAAACCTTCTTCTCCTCATTTGGCTAGATGAATTGTTCTTGTTAATTTTTCGATTTTCTTTAAAATTTTTGGAAACCTGCAATTCTAAAATAGTAAAAATACCTTTAGGTGGTTCTTTATCTTGAGAAAAGAGCATACAAGGTTTGGAATAACGAAATCCACTTCTTCTAAATAAGTTTAAACTTAATCTTAACATCACAAATAAAAATAATTAATGGACTATCGAGACCTAATCTCCGAGAAAAAGGATGAAAATCAACTTTTCAAAAAGCTTGTACTGTATCCACTTCTTACAGGATTCGTATATGGAACAGGTCACTTCATAGCTTACTTAATTGTCAACTAGAAGTTCTTCATTCCTTTAAAGAAAGCAACAAAGTGAATTGAATTATAAAATAATAATATTCATGTACTTTTCCATTTAAACATTCAAATACATGGTATACAAAATGATGCTATGTAATAAGCAATCATAAAATTAAGGACAATGACTAGAAATAAAGTGATTAAGAAATAGAATCCCTATTAGAATCTAAGTACTCTGATTTGAAGTTAAAAAAATGATATAAAAATGTTATCTAAAATATCGTTTCCTTCTTGTCTCTCAAGAAAATTATTCAGCATCTTAAAAGAAAATATCGTATGGAATATGGATATATTAATTAGAAAAAAGTATTTTAATGTAAAGGGTGAGATTATAACTTGAGTATACAGTTTCTAAGGTCTATAATATTATATTTAGCTCTAATCTCTTCACCTTCTATTGCGAAATCAACGAAATATATGACAAATACATAAAATTAAAACTAATAACTTTAAACTAATTCTATACTCTTAGTATCCACTATTTTTAAGTTATCTGTTACTAAAACTATAATTTCAGTTCCATTTTCTTAATTAATTGAGAATCCTCAGCACTCATCAAATTTATAAAGAATTCTATTAAATAAGACTTAAAGTTTTCAATTTCTGTCACTTATATTCATTGATTGAAATAGTGTCTAGACTCTTTATAAAAAACCTAGAAACAAAGTTCAGTTGTACTTAGTCTAATATACTTTAAAAATGGAGTTAATTATCTATAGAAAATACTACTATCCTAAATATATAATTCTAGTAATTTCATTTTGGGTAAAAAATGAACAAACAAAAAGAATAACCCAAAAAAATTGAATTTATTATAGAATACTCAACTAATAGTACAAATATAACTAACAAATTTATATAAAAAGGATTGAGAATCTTGAAATATCTTTTTTATAGTTATCCATTGAAATTACATTATTGATGATTTCAAAATGAGAACTATTTTATTAAAATTAATGGAATTGATAATTTAGTTCCTTTAGAATTAAAATTGTACAAAGAAAGTTCTTTAATTGATGAATAATAATTATAAATTTATATTCACCAATTTAAACATATCTTTTATTGATGTAAATTGAATATTCGCAATAGTTAACAAAACAGGTAGGCTGAGAATAAATAATTGCCTTATATTTAGTTAATATGATTATAATTTGTTCATTTAATCAATAATTTAAATCTATTTATAGAGATAGAATATTTACATATTGTTAGATGCATTTAATATAAAAAGGAATAATATTTTTTTTATTAGATATATATATTTTTTCAAAAAATCATAATAAGATTATATTTATTTAAAAATTAAAGATTTTTAACACTTAATTTTTGAGTAGTCTTTCTATTTTATTTCTTGATTAAAATGTAAATATCTTCAATTATAGAAATACCTTATATCATAATACAAGTAAGATAAAGGATAAAAAATTCATTTAAAATTAAAAGATTAATTTACAAAATAATTCTATGATAATTATAAATCAGAATTGAACGGATAAATTATATATAAGTATGTTGATTATAGTTTAAATTATTTTAACTTATGAGAATCTTATTTATGATTGTATGAAAATAAATCTAACTTAGTACTTTTTATATTGATACTTTCAACTCAGTAGATATAATCCAAATTTATACTATTTTCAACATTAAACATGTCATTACATATTGATAAAAAAAATAGATTTGTAATAATTGATTTAACATTATTAAATAGATATTTATAAGTTTAAGAGACTATTTTAATAGAATGGTTGAAATATTTATTATGAGATAGTTTGATATTTCTGTATTTCAATTTTACAATATTACGATGAACAATTCAATATTTATTTATAATTTATTATATAAATTTTCCAAAATTTCTAAAATTTCCACTATTTGATAAATATTGTAAATAAATTAGGATTGTATATAGTATATTTATATAATATATCAATTTTTAAGTTCAATTTATATATTATAAAGTATAAGTCATTATGATTAATTAAAAGTTGATATAATATAAATAAAATGTTACAAAATTTATAGGTAGAGGGGAGAGAAATTAGTCAGGATTACTCATATGAATGGGTAATGGGTAATGCTGATTTAATAAGCATTGAAAAAGGAATTCCAATAGGTGAGTTTAGTGAATAAATTCAGAATCGAGATTAAGAAATGGAATTCAGAGTAAAGAATATTTTATAAAGGCTTTTAGATTTTGAGACGTCTTACAGAAACATAGTATCACAATGATAACCTTTATGATTTCCATCCAGATATTCTTAAGTTAAATAGATATAACAATATCATTCCTTGTATCAAAATAATGTTATCGTAGTTAAACATTCTGTAGTTAAATTGAAATGTGATGAAGAAGAGAACTAAAAGGAATCATATATAAATGCTGATTACATAAATGTAAAGTAATGAATAAAGATTTTAGTTAATAAATGGAAAAGAGAAAATGATGATTGCCACATAAGGTCCAGTAAGTTAAACAATAGGACATTTTTGGAGGATGATTTCTTAAGAAAGTGTGTCAATGATAGTAATGCTTTGTAATTTAAAAGAAAATGGAAAGGTAATTGAGACATTGAATTTATTAAAGGTGTAATGTGAGTAATACTGGCCTAAAAATATTGGAGATAGTTTACTTGTTGGAAATATTACTATAAATTTCGTTAGTCAAGATGATTTAGGAAATAATATAATAAAAAGGACTTTAAAAATGCAAGAACAAAATGGAGAAGAAAAATAAGTAACTCATTTACAATGGTGTGGATGGCCAGATTAAGGAGTTCCAAATCATAATGATTTTAATACAATAAAGGAATTGCTAAATTAAATATTGGAGAGAGTATAGAATGATTAAAAGGTTGTATTTCATTGCAGGTAATTATTATATTCTTTAATTTTACAATTATAGTGCTGGTATAGGGAGAACAGGAACATTGATATCCTTAGTAAATTTGATGATTATATTGACAACATATTAATCTTATGTAGGAAATGACATTACAAGTAAAATAATATAAATAAAAGTAAGAAATATTTGAGAATCCAGATTAATTTCGTATTTCTATTTTTGGAGTAGTACGAAGATTAAGAGAATAACGATGGGGAATGGTACATACATCAGAATAATATCAATATGTATACAAATTTATTGATGAAGCTATAAAATATATGTTTTAATAACAGTAATGATATTATAATAATAATTCATATATATATATAATCATTGAATATGTCTGAAAATACTAGCACTTACTTTATGTACTTGTTCATACTTTTTATCAAGTTCTTGATTTTAAAGAGCAGCAAATTATTATTATACAATGTGAGTAACAGGATTTTCATTTAGATATGAATAATTAGTAGTAGTAGTAGTGAAATTAGTATGTTTATATAAATGATTTTATTTTTGTATATCTGGAATTTGGACAGTTGATTATGATTGATATAATGGAATCTTTAATATATTATTCTGCATCATCATAACATCACCATATGATTATCTTTTAGTTTCGAAAGGGAATGGTCTATTGTTGAGATGATTTGTACTAATGGTTGTAAGTGTATTATTAGGTATAAGAGGTTAGAAATTGGTTTCTTAAGAATTTAATTAAAGATTAGTTATAGTTTTAAAGCTTTTACTTTTAGCAATTAATGTCATAATTTATGAAACTGATGATGAAACTTTCTATGCACTTATACCAGTCAAACATTATAATTATTATGACCAAATATTTAATAATCCTGCTTTCTTTCTTAAATAAGCAATACAAGAAAGTGCTAAGATAGTTTGATCTGTTTTAAAATACAAATTTTCATCTAATTTATAAATATATTTTTGATACCTTTAATTATTTGTAATGCTACATCTGTATATTTACTTTCAACCTCTTTTACATAAAATAATATTTAATTTTCTTAAAGATCTCTAAGTTTTACATGTTATTAATGTAAAGTATCTTTATTTTCTTTTTATTATTATTATCCTAAACTATCATCATCATCTATAATTCCAAATGAAAGTATAGTTTCTATTCTATCAAGTAATGTAACTCTTTATAATTTCCATTCCATTGTTTGAATTAATGATCTCTCTGCATATTTATATTCTCTAATTGAATATTAATTGATTTCAGGATGATTTGTCATTGATGCATATCTTTTCAATTTACTAATAAAAGGTACTCGTTCATCTAATTCTTAAGCTTTTGCTGCTAACATTAAAGCAGTTGCAACAAATAAATAAGTTTAATTTTCATTGATAGTAACTTTACTTAAATATTCATCTATATAATTAATTGCTAAAAATGATGTATTTAATGATAGATTTAACTTTTCTGAAGCTTATAAAATGAATTCAATTATCTATTAACGTTATTTAATAGGTCCTATTGGTATGCCTTCAGATAAGATACTCTATAACACTTTGATTGGATTAAAAAAGGCACTATATTTCATTTTTAGAGTTTTGTATACTCTAGTATTTGGCTATTATATATTATGAAATGTAATTACATTATTTAAAAATATTCCACATTCTTTACAAATTACTTTATCAGAATAATTATGTCGATTTTAATGACAACATCCAAATATCTCTTAATATTGATTATTGTAATGATGTTCAAATGGTTCCAATTGACTCATATATATATACGTTAAAATTTTTAATAAATATTTTAATAATAAAATAATATCTAATTAAATGGATTTCTTTTCAGGACTAAAGTTTTCCAATTATTGGCTACAATTTCCAATATTTCTATTCATTTCAAAATATACTCTACTTCATATTTATATTTCTAATAATCACGCAATCTAATTTGTTTTCTCAATAAATATTTTGGATCCTTATAATATTATTCTTCAATTTCTTTATTACGAGGTCTCTCAAAATTACTATCATACAATTCATTCTATCTTTAATTGTATAATTTCTACTATCTCAATACTTCTTAAATATGCTCATAATTTGATTTAAAATATCATACTTTTTGAGTCCATTCTCTTCTTTTTAATTCAATTTAATAATTTTCATGTAATTTCCCTAATTTTGATTCTATTACAGCTAATGTAGCCTCTTTATTGCTTTAATCAATTGTTTCTTCAAATCTCGTTATTTTTTTATTATTTTTATCAATTTCATTATATAACTCTTATAATCTATTGGATATTGTCTAAATTGGAGTTTCAGCTCTTAAAATTTTACTACTTAATTTCTCCATTAATTTCTAATCATAAGGCTTCTAGATTTAGGTCTTTTAATGACTACTATTTAATAAAGGATCTTTTTGTCTCAATTAAGCACTTTACTTCTTACCTTCCTAAATAAAATGATGAATTTCCTATCTTTAAAGCTCCACTTGTTATCTATTTGTCAATTCTAAGTGTCTTATTACTACTTTTCTTGGGAATTGGTGATGCACTTCTAGTATCTTCACGAATTTCAGTTCTAAATCTCATTCCTTCCTCAGATACAACTACTAAATTAGGTCTATTTAGTAATTCTTTTAATGTCAATGTATATGGAGGTAATATTTATTATTATTACATTTGAAATAAAATTAATTGTTTATATCACTCATCCTAATATCTAATTAAAGTTGTTCTTCTCTATTTAACTCTCTCCTTAAAGATTCTCTTATATTTTCTAATAACTTTCTCAGGATTCTCTTCTTAAAAGAAACATTCATAATTAGCCATCTAATCAATACTAAATTAGCTATCAACATCAGAATTATCATTAGCATCATTTTCAATCTTGGTAGGTTAATTATTACTTTAACTATTTGTGATATAATTCCTAAAGTAACAATTGGGAATATTACCTTAATTCATCAATTATTAAGGATACCTCCTTATTTCTAGGTTGAGCAATCTATAAAAATTTCATTTTTCTTAATAATTCTTATTTCTTATACTCATTATTTGGTTGTCTCTCAGGAGATGGAATTTTATCAAATTATTTATCATTAATCTCATTCCCTTAAAATAATTTACTTTTTCTTCTTTATATTTAAATAGTATTAGGAGATAAATTATTATTTTATCCTTTGTAAACCTTCTTAATTTATTCTTGAATTGGAGTTAAACTAGACATTGAAGAAGTCCTTACTTTCTTTGGTTAAGGTAATTTTACAAAACTTTAAAATTTCTTCTTCTTTTTTTTAACTTTATTTTATTCCTCTTCTGAATTCTTTATATTCACTAAAGATTTCCTTAAACCATCAGATAATTCTACACTTTAAGTATCTTTATTTTCATCAATCTTCATTTCATAATTATCATCAGCTAACCATTATCCTCTCTATCTTAATTATGCTTTCTCCTTTTCTTATTCAACAATCTTTTTAATATTCTCAATCTCTTCTTCATAATCATCTACATCTGAACTATATTCATCATCCTCATCATTAGATTCCAAATTAAATGTTGTAATCTAAAAGTACTTCTTAATAGCCAAAGCATTAACTTAAACATCTCGAATATGAGATAAAGCTTTGAATTATTATTTAACTATTCTCCTTTTGAAACTAGTTTCTCTAATATTTGAAACATTATAAGTAGATTAAATTACTTAATCTTTTATTGGAAGATATAAAGTTCTTTTACAATTAATAGCTAAATGACTTCTACTTTCACAAATATAACATCGTAATTTCAAATTCTCATAATCGTTATTGAATAATATATTGTGTCTTATTTCATAAAATTTTTATCTATCAGTTTCATATTTTTCTAATAATTTTAGAAATGAAACTCTAGACAATTTACAAATCACAGAATAAGTCAAACAACGAGCAGATGCTATTCTTCTATGTCCAGTAATAAATCCAATTATTCCCAAAATACCATACTTCATGATATGTAATTTGATTCTTTTGTCACTATCCAAAAAGATTTCAACCTATCCTTTATCTAAAAAATATAAAGGGAAGTCATTTGTCTCTTCATTTTCAATGAATATATTTTCTTCTTATGAATAATATTGTTACTAAATTTCTTATGCCAATTCCATAAGCAAATCTTATGAGAAACAGGAGAAGAAATTATTCTGTTTAAGCATTTTACCTAAGGTTTGATATATCAATTCCTCTCTTAAGGCAGGTGCCAATTTAAGTATCATTGCTTATTCTAATTCATGATCTCTTGCCTTTTCAGTTTACCACAAATGAAATAAATAGGCTTCAATACGTGCCTTTAATTTTCTATCTACATTTTGTTCTACCATAAATCTTTAAATAGCATTCACATATTTTCTATAATGAAATAAATTGGTTTATACTGAAATTTTTATTTGTTTTCATTCTATGAATAAATCATTTCCCATATAGCATTGACTGAATAAGCAAAAACAATACAAGAAATAAATTAAGTAATAATTGTCACAAAAACTTCCCAGAAATTCATTGGAGTAACATCACCATATCCTACTGATATCATTGTTGTTACAGCCCAATAAAATGAGTATAAATGTAATTCAGATATTGGCATATCCTCATATCCTCCATTCATAGTAACCACATCACAACGATTCAACCATGATACATTTCCTAATTGTTTATTTAACTATCGTCTTCCAACAAAAAAAAATAAACAAGCAAATAAATGACATAACCATATTATTGTCAACATTACAGTAAGTAATCTATATCTAGCTAGTTTGGAAGGTTCGAGTTATAAATATTCCTTTATCATATTACTAGTTTTATTGACTTCATAAACTTTTAAAATAAACAAAAACTGTTCAAATCCCAATTATTTCTCATTAAACAACAGACATCTATATTCTATCAAACATAATAAAGGAATTAAATCTAAAAAGAAATAGCTCTTGAAATAATTTAAGGCAATCTATTTTCTGCCACTTATCAATTATCCTTACTTATAGAATGCTGTATTGAAAGTACCTATTATGTCGACGATAAATATAGAGATTCCTATATATAATGATACTTCCTCATAAGATTTATAATGGAATGCATACTTTTCATCAATTAATGGTTGGTAAGCTAACATAAATGGAATTTAGAAGAAGAAACAAAGTACCAAAATGCTATTTAGAACCTACCAATATATGTAGAACTAAGAATCAGGTTCAAGCACCTTTACTTTATGAATATATGATGACATCCCTGTAAGAAATCCAGTCTTTTTGGTTTCATAGGCATAATCCTTAAATATCTCTTTTTATCTAAGGTCTATGATTTAAGCCATTGTAACCTGATTTGTGGATTTCTTACTTTTGAAGCATCTTTAAAAAAAGTTGAACTCCTTATTATTCTTTTCGAGTGTTCTACGATAAAGGATTGTTTCATTAGCAACGAATGGAATGACCTTAACTTAATTATTTTCTTCTAAAAGTGATGTAGAACCCCATTCAAAAGCACTATCATTAACAATTTATTCCATATTCATTTCTGTGGCTGAACGATCTTCCAAAATGATAGTTTTAGATTCTTATTCTTGTATTAGAGGTTATTGAAGGGAATCTTTTGAGCTCATTATTAAAATTTTATAAAAATTAACAATGGGTCCTACTTAAGGAAAGGAAGTAAATTAATTAAGATTTACAAATAGTTATCTCCCTAAATGAGAGATCGAGTGCTTAAATTATTTGCAAGATTTGATGTTGATGGTTCTAAATCAATTGAAAAATCAGAAACAATAAAATATTGGTATATAAGGCAATTTAAAATCTGAATAGGAAGAGTAATTTTGCTAAATTGAATACTGAAGAATTATTTAAATCAGTTGATACTGATAATAGTGGTACAATATCAGAGGAAGAATGGCTTAATTTTTGGACATCAGTGTTAAGAAGTGGACATACAGAGGAAGAGATATCTGATGAAGTAAGTATAATAAGTATGAATAATTTAGTTGGAAAGTATAGAATCAGGATCATCATGGGTAAAATTTGAGAATTTAGATAAAAAAAAAGGTTGAAGTAAAATACATTATATAATATATATATATATATATTATATTATATAATTATATATTGTGAATAAATTTAATTAGTCAATGATATGTTTATTTTAATGTATTTATAAAGAAAGAGAAATAGATTAGATGGAGTTGTTTAAATGAATAGATTATTCTTATATATGATTAAAGGTTTGAGAATATATAAAAAAAATAGATTTATTATTATTAAAACCAATATAATTGCTGAACCTTTTTGTTTTTCATTATTCTCATTGATGATGATGCGTATGTAAAGTGTATAGATGAAATTGTTTATGTGAATGTATAATTATAGAATCACGCTGCCTTATTAAACACAATGGTTTCCCTATACTTTTCAACATGATCGAGTAATTCTTCCAAATCTGCTCCTCCTACTTCCATATCCTATGCTATGTTTTTGAGATGCACTTTAAATTTATCGAACTGCTAATTTGTTATGTTCAATCCTTTATGAACTTCAACCAAATCTCTAATGTTTAGATAACAGTATGATACCTGCCTGTATATTAAGTGTTTTTATCACCCATCATTTAAGAAAAGAATCTCTTCTATTGATATCTTACACGACTCATGTCAGCTTTGAGAAACTTATCTCTTAATAATTTATCAAAGAGGACTTTATAATAGAATTGATCAATTAGTTCAGAAACTTATTGATCACCTCCAAATCTCTCAAATAAACATTTCTTATTGTCCATTTTTATTTAATTAAAATCTTTTATTTATTAATATTTATTTGCAATCAGAATCTCAAAAAAAGACTAAATTAACTTGATTTTAATAGTTATTGATTTTTTAATTCACTCCCCCCTATAAAATCTTAGTGTTTCCACTAAATTATAGTAAATATTAATTAAAATTATATAATTAATATAAAAATTAAGTAATGTCTTTAGGAGTACCACTTAAAATTATGCATGAAGCAGTTCATCATATAGTCACAGTCGAACTAAAAACTGGTGAAATGTTTACTGGATATATGGCAGAAGCAGAAGTAATCAATAAAAAATATATATTAGGACACAATGAATGTAAGATTGGATGAAGTCTAAATGGTAACAAGAGATGGTAGACCCATGTCTTTAGAATAAGTATATTTAAGAGGAAGTCAGATCAGATTTGTAGTTATCCCAGATGTATTTAAATATGCTCCTATGTTCAAAAAAATTAGAGCAAATGCTAAAAGCAAAAATATGTAGTAAATCAGAGAAAAAGCTAGATAAGTTAGAGGTAATTCATATATCTATTAATTAAATAGAGGAATTAGTACCTCGTATTAAATAAGGTTTAGAACAATAAAAAAAGTGATACATTTATGCAAAAATCATCTATGGATATAAATATATTTATATAATCAAATTATTATTAACATAATTATAATCTAATCCAATTGGTTAATTCAATAAATCTTAAATTAACCTACTAAATCTATTGGAATATAAAGAAGAACCTTAAATGTTTTCTAAATAATTCTCATTAAAAAGTATTATTTCATTCTGATCCATTTATCTTAATTTAATTTCAATAATGAAAACCAATCTTAATTGAATTACATATATGAATAATAATAATAAAAAGATAGAAATATTATTAGGAATTTAGTTGTACTCTATTTTTAATGTAATTATTTAGGAACATTAGCAAAATTATAATAAAACTTATTTGTTATGATCTTTTAATAACATATATTCCCAAGAGTATTTCTATTCAAAATTATGATTTTAATATTATTTATAATGATACTTATCTTAAATATTATATTTACATAATTGTACCTTTGATTATTGCAGATACATTAAAGGATGTATATATATAAAATATACTTAAAGCCTTAACCAAGATTGAAATAACTAAAGGTATATAAATCATTTAAATGTATTTAGAAATGTAATATCTACCTAAATAAATAATTCAATAGAATAATGAGAAATATATAATAGATAAATTATTGAATATTCATAATTCTCAAATTTTATCTTCTAAATTAGATTACTTGATTTCGAAATAAAAATACTAATAGATTTGAAATCAACCTATTTGAATTAGTTTTTTGAGCTCTTCTAACAATTTAGTGATTGATTTATGTTCATATTTAATAAATGACTAATAAACAAAAAGACTATTGGACGAGTTTTATTTCAGGTAGTGAATCTTAATCTATCAAAAGGTGGTTTTGCTGGAGTTTGTGCTAAAACTGTAATCTCTCCATTTGAAAGAATCAAATTGCTATATTTGGTATCGATGTGTTATCATATCTATAATAGACTAGATCAACTCAATTCACTTATAAAGCAGCTATCCAAGATGCAATATATGTGTATTAACATCATGGTTTGATCAATTTTTGGAGAGGTAATCAGGCCAATATATTAAGAATATTTCCACAATCAGCCATTGTAAAACATATTAATAAATAATAGAATTTCTCAACCTTCGATTATTTGAGACGTAGATTTGCTCCAGATAGAGAAGATAAGACAATTTTAAGAAAAATTAGATTATTTTTATGTGGATTAATTTCAGGCATTGTTGCATAAAGTATAGCCTACCCATTTGATTTTTTACGAACAAGATTAGCAATGTAAAAAGATGCTTTCCTTTATAAAAACATATATGATGCAGCTCTGAAGATTTATAAAATTGAAGGATTCATGTCCTTTTATTCTGGATTACCTATAGGAATTATAGGTGTAGGAATTTATCATGGAAGTGGTTTCTTTTCTTTTACATTGATGAAAGAATATTTGCTTGAAAAATATCCATGGATAGCCAAACATAAAAGTACAGACTTTACTTTAGGGGCAAGTGGAGCCATTATTGCTTAAGTTTTAGCTTATCCTTTTGATATTGTAAAGAAGAGAATGTAAGGGTAGAATGTATTGCTCTAACAAGGAGAGATTTAAACAATGACGTACTTTTTATTTTATAATAATTTAAGATCCACATGGGTACAGATAAAAACTATCTATAGAGTTGAGGGAATCATCAAAGGATTTTACAAAGGAGTTTCACTCAACTTTATTAAAGCTCCACTATCATCTGGTACTGCATGGACAGTCAAAAACTCAGTTAACAGGCTACTTAATAAAAATTATGATTTCTGACACAAATATTTTTATAAAAAATACTTATATTTATTATAAAATATTTTTAATATATTAATTATCAATTCATATATTTATCTTTAAATTATTTCAAAAGTACTCCATAATTAGATACAATATCAATAAACTTTAAATATCTATTGATTACAATACAAAATCAAGTTATAAATGGACTAACTGTAAATTACTTAATATGTCCGTGTGGCGTAATGGTAGCGCGACAGCCTCCTAAGCTGTAGGTTGCAGGTTCGACTCCTGCCTCGGATGATTTTTTTTATTTAATATTTATATGATTTAAATGATAAAATATATATTAGTTCCTAATTAAATTAGATTCTCTATGTTGATAATGAAGAAAGTTGGAAGAATAAATAAAAGATTGGGAAAAAATAATTTATAAATAACAAAATTTAAAAATATATCTAAAAATGATAAATATTCAATTAATTTCAAAGAACTCACCCAGATGATTCAATAAAGATCATTAATAAATACATTCCATTTCCTTTCAGTCTTCTAAATTCTAATTAGACCATATATAGTTTTATTTATTTATACTCATAAGCAGTCAAATTACTAATAAATAATAGAAAGTATTAAGATTTAGAAGGTATAAATTATAAGTAATTATGATAAAAATAAGACAAAATGAAATAATTTAAGAACTAATGATTTTAATTATAAATGTAGTATAAGTATAATAAGATATTAAATTAAAACATTTTTGAGTTCAAAATAGAGCTGGGTAAAGTGATTATAATCTATATTATTATTTATAATATTAAAATTGAATCTAATTAATATAATTTTAGGTTGAAATATTATAAATTTTGCAAATTAAGAAAATCAATTATTAATTAAATTTAAACAACTATAAACTAATGATATTGAGGATGATGATAACAAAATTTACTTGGATTATGATTTTCATAATATTTGATTAAATTTAAATTGCAACTATATTATATATAAAATTTATTTGTCTTGTTAAGTATTGAAATAAGTAATTTATTTTATTAATCATTTAAAAAGAGTAAAGTTGTTGAATTAATATGAAAGTTCTACTTTAATTATCTAAAAAAGTTTATAATAAATATTTCAATATATTAATAATCATAATAGTTTAAAGATTGAAATTTCATGTTATTTATTTTTGATTCTTATCAATATAATTGTTATAATGTATTTTAAGAATATATATTTTAATAAAATATGATGATGTTCAAAATTTTTGATAATTATTGTCAATTATATATTCACTTTAAGAAGTTTACTTTTTTTTTGATTCTGTCTTTTCCATTAAATTCAGTTTATGGAGATTCATATGATTATTCTTATTGGTCACTTCTTGAAGTCAAAATTCCTTGTAAAATAATGGGCTGATAATTTATCCCTTCATCAAATAAGTCTTTAGGTTCTAAAAATAAAATTTAATGTTATGATCTAGGAGATAATGGTTTATTGGATGTAAGCAAAGAGCCATTTTAATATTAGTACAATGAACAGTGTTATTGAATTAAATCACTGAAGATATCATCATTATCAATAGATTCCTATAATACTTTAGAGTGTTGTGGATTGACTTCTTCATAGTTGAGTTAGAGTTCTGGTTTTTGACATTAACACTAACTACCCATAATTTTATAATATCTTATTATTTATCAATATTTAAATATATATTTAATTTAGTATTATAATGTGCATGTGAAATGTATGATTATTGAATATATTAGTTTAAATTATAAGGAACAATAACTAAAATGAATATTGTTATTAATTGAAGAATAACAAATTCTTATAAGTAATTTAATTGAGACTTAAATAATAAAAATATAATATAAGCAATTATATAAAATTCAAGAATTCAAATTATCAATATTTAGAATTTATATTTGGCTATTTGTTTGGCTTAAAACTTTATAAATGACTAAAATCATATATAGAATTATTATCCTTTTTATGTTATTCTTATAATTAACTTGATTGTAAATTTCTAGTTTATCGATTTAATGGTTAAGTAGGAATATATTCACCAAAATCTAAAGTTTTAGCACTTTAAGTTGTTAATTTAGATGGCATTGGTTTATTTTCTGTTGTAATAAAATCTAGAATATCATCCAAATCATTGCTATCATCATCTTTAATTTATTATTAAAATTATTATTTTTATTTAAATTGTGTATGTGGTTCATCTCTTTAACTATAAGATTTATTCTTATTATCTGACTCAAAGAATTTTAATTCATCTTTAGATTTTATTTATTCTTCAAATATTAATGATGGTGCTATTTTCTCTATATTATAAAAAAAAGGATGAGTTAACATCTATGTAGCAGTAATTCTCTTATTAGGATCCCATCTAATCATTTATGTTAATAGATTTATAGCTTCTGTACTTGCATTTGGAATTAATTATTATAATTGTAATGGCTAAAACTAAGCTAGTGCTAAACCCATTTAAGATACTAATCTACATCCTTCTGGCCATTCTGTTTAAGTAAATGTTCTAATTGATTTAAGAAAGTGTACCCAAGAGTTGAGAGAATCTTATTAAATTATTCCAATTCTGAATTTCCTTGAAAAAGAGGTCTATTTAAAAATAGTTCTGCCATTATACAACCTAATGCAAATATATCAACAGGACTATTATAATTAACTTATTTCAAAAGAATTTCTGGAGCCTATTATATTAATTGAATATAATACTCTATACCATCTTGTGGCTATATAATCAGTATAAGGAGGTCTAGACCTTATTTCTCTTGCACATCCAAGATCAATAATCTTAACTACTCCATTATTGGTGACTAACATATTCTCTGGTTTAAGATCACGATGAAAATATCCATGTTTATGCATATAACTCAAACCATTGGCAACTTAATAAATAATAGATTTTATTTAATCTTCTGATATTGTTTTACCCTAATATTAATAAATCTATTGTACCATTTCTTTTTATTGAGTATACATTTAATAAATACTTTTTTCTACAAATTCAAACACTAAACATAAAGTATCATTATCAAGGAAAACTTATAATTAATTATTTATACTTTCTTTGAGTTTAACAATATTGGGATGATTTTGTAGTTTCAATAAAGCCTTAACTTCTCTCAAATTAGTACATTCATCAAAATTGTGATATTTTTATTTCATCTTTTTGATTGCAACTAAATCATGAGTTTAAGTATCTTCAGCTTTTATTACAACCCCAAATGTTCCATCTCCTGTCTTTTTCAATTCCCTGAATTTTTTCATATATATTTTTAGGAAATTTATTTTATATATTAAAAACTTAATTTTTATCAAAAATACTAAACACTAGAGTTTCATACATTATTTTATGATTTAAATATAATATTTATATGAAAATCTATTATATCTAAGATTAATAAAATAATTAAGATATCTAATAATATATATTAAAATATAGTCTGATTTCATTAGATTTATCATTTTTTTAACTTCTTATCTTTTTTAATTAAAGACTTCTATAATGATTAATTGTACTATTAAATTAATTATTGATTAGGAATTCTAATCTCTAAAATTAATTTACTAGTTTTATCAACTTTCTTTAACGATTGATTCTTAGATGTTTTAGTTCTATTAAATGCATCTATCATCTAATTTTCTTTATCATCAAGATAATTGTTCAATTTATGAGATTAATTTTACTTTTTAGGTTCAATTTGAATTGAATATGAATAATAACCAAGTTTCTTATGAATTTCACATTTTCTACAATGTTCACAAATGTATATCAATTTCTTATTAATTGTTTAACTAATCATATTGCTTATTGAATTTTGATCCATTAACGTAACTATTAATTTTAATTTAGTATTATTATATATCAATGTTTCAAAAATTTTGTACATTATTAAGAAATTTATTATTGTAATTAAGAAAAACTATTCAATTACTAGTAATTTAAATATGTATATTGATAATAATTGGTATATACATTTCGATGAAGATAATTCAGAATTATATTTTAAGAAATTAAGTTTGATTTCTTTTACAATCTAGCAGAAATTTGAGAAAAGTTAAACTCATATATAAAGTTTAAGATTATTTTATATATAAAGGAAAATTGATTTTTAATATGAAAGATTATGAAATAATTAATTTATAAAATTCTTTAAATCAAATTTGATCTCTTAGATTCTGATTAAGATGTAGAGTTTGATTCTTATTAAATTGACAAATTTAATTTAGATTTTTCAACAATTATGTCATTTTTATAAGAGATGCAAAAAGTAAATATACTCTAGTAGATATTTAAGTATCTCAGTTAATGAATTTAATGTAATATAATAATTTTTAAATATATAATCAATTAATATTACATCATAATAAATAAAGATATCAAAATATATTTATAAAAAAAGAATGCATTATTTTCTAATTGAAAAGTTAATCTAAAAATATTAATAATAGACTTCAATACTAAAATATGGATTTGTTAATACTTATCTTAATTAAATAAAGCTATAATTAGAAAATTACTGAAAAAGCAAATATTAAAATATGTACAAAGAGATATATATTTATTTAAGAAATGAAAATATTTGTACAGTATAAATATAAATCTTTTGTTTTTGTTTTCAGATGCAATTTTAAATTGATTAAGGTTAATGAATTAATATCATTTGAGATCATTTAAAATTTAGAGTTAACTCAACTGAAACTTAAGTATAATTATTTCATTAAATAAATACAAATTAATTTAAGAAGTTAATTAAACTTGAAATTTAAGGTTTTTTATTATGTAATTCATTACTTCATCAAGAGTAGTATGATAAATCTAATCTTTATTTATAGAATTTTCATAAAGTTTATAATAGTGAATGTTATCATTGATTTATCTAAGCATTATTAATATTAATTGATGAACTCTTTTAGTCTTGAAAAGAATCGATTTCATTAAAAAGCATGCGAAAAGAAGAAAAAAAGACAGTATGAAAACTTCATCTCATTAATCAGAAAGTAATAAATAGAAACTTTCATTGAAAAAAATGTCTAGTCTTTGTATGTGGATCTCAATCAATCATATACAAAAGCATCTGATTAGGAAAGTTTTAATTTAAACAAAATACCTAAATCCGTAAAAGCCAATTTAATTGGTTAGTTAAACAGTAAATATGGAAGAAGATCTCATGAATGAATATATGATTATATGTTATGGTTGTATTAAATTATTATTAATGTTTATTATTGAAAATATAGTGAGAAAGTAGAAATTACAACATAGAAATTTTTAAAGATCTCAATATATAAAGAGAAAAAAATGTTTATAAAAAATGCATAATTAATGAAATATCATATCAAAAATACTTTATTATAAAAAATTAAAAATATATGGGACAATTAATAATACTATTTTTATTAGAGTCTCTAAATTATAAAATTAGATATGTTATTAATAAAAAGTTAATAATTAATTATAATCTTAATATTGATGAAGATTTATTAAGATTTAAATGGAGCAATTTTTATTAATATTTATATTAGATTTTTTAATGGATTCCTTTAATCTCTTAAACAATAAGTTTATGTAATAAGCAATGGAGAGAAAATCTTTGAGATCTATAAATTTAAGTTAGAAAAATCTTGATACTTAATCAAAATCAATAGAATATGACCTTTGGGATAGAAATGATGGTTTAGACTCACCAATGACACCAAAAATTTAAATCCCAAATTAATTCTACCCAAAATTAATAAATAATGTAAGACTTTCTAATAAAAGACTGTCATGTATGGATTTGAAATGATTTTCTGTATTTTAAATATTATTTTATTACTAAAAAATCAATTATATTTTAGAAGTACAAATTATTTGCCCTCCTTAAATAAATTAAAAATATATATATATATATAAATTATAATTTATGAGATGCTAAGAATTATCTATTAATTTAGAACTGATTTTTTATTATAAAATTATATAAACATGTATTTTCAATTAATTTATTTTAATTTTTCTTCTTCTATTTAAATATAATCTGTACAATCCTAACAAATTTATGTAACAATAGGTTTATGTTCAAGACATCTTGGACATTAACTATCATTAATTTCATAAAATTTAACATGATAATTAATTTTTTGATGATAAAATTGTTCTTTAACAAAAAATGAAGACATGCAAATATGATTTGGTCTTTTCTTATTCAAAAAATCAGTTTCAATAGTAATTTTTCCACAATCAAAAAATAATGCTAATTCATCAGGATCTATATCAATTAATTTAAATTCAAAAGTATTAGGTTCAAGTATAAAAACAATTTCCAATTTTTTTGATATACTTTTTTATTTAATACGTTCTTAAACTTCATCAATTTAAGTATTAATCTCTTTTTATAATTTGTGTAATAAACTTAAAGTTACAATATTTTATTATGCTTCTTAATAATGACTAACTGGTATCTTTGGCCATGAAGTAGGTAATTTAGTATGTATGTCTCTAGCATTAAAACATAATATTGGTTAAATAACATTTAATGTTATATCATATATTTTGTAATAGATATACAAACTATTTTGATATTCACTATGAAATGCAATAATTTTATTTCTAGTACTAGAAACATATATTGAAACATAATTTTGCATAAAATCTATATATAATTAATAAGCTAATCCAAAATTATAATCTTCATAAGCTTTTGTAATATTAGCTACAAATAATATTAATTGTTGATAAATATATGAATCAAACTAAATATTAATAAATTTATAAGTACAAAATGTAAATCTTTAAAGTCAACAGGTGTAACAGATGCATTTTCTAAACAACCAATAATCTACCAATATATTTTTCTAATATAATTTATTTATTCTTTCTTTTTATCCAACATAAATTATGAAAATTCATCATGTTCATTAATAGATGTGGCAAGTGCTCTTAAAACATCAACACCACACTAAAAATAATAAATATATATAATATACTCCATATTATTTTTATTCATTTGCTTTAATTTATCCTTCAATAATATTTTCTAATGTAAAACAATTAGTTTTACTAATTTTATCTTTATTGAATTATAAAACAGTATGTGTATGAATTTTTCTATTGAATTTCTTTTAAAATAACATCATCATCATTTAACTACTAAATAAAAAGGCTTCATTTTAATCTATTCCTTCATAAATTAAATCACATTATTGAGGTAAAATAAAATTCCTATTTAATACACATGTATGTTTTTCCAAATCTTAAGCATAAGGTTTATATTCATCTGGTAATAAATCAACAATATTCCATTTCCAATATATATCACTACCATTTTTTTCTACTAAATCAGCAAAATATTTAACTATATCTGCATTTAATAAATATCCATTTTTTAATTTTTAAAATTTCTTAGGTGTTGTAGCTTTAAATAATGGTATTGGAATTCCCCATACATTATGTTCAGTTATACACCATTAACCACATAATGCTTCCATTAATTCTATATATGGTGTATATATTTCATCTTTATTATTTTATTTTGTATTTATTTCATTTAAATTATATTTTTCTTTATATTCATCTATTAATTTTTCATCAAAATGTAAAAACCATCCTGGAACACTTCTTAAAAGTAATTATTCTCCAGTAATTTTATGATGATAAAATACTTCTTATGCAGAACTTACTACATCAAGAATTCTATTTCTTTCTCTAAGTTCTTTAAGTATTTATTAGTTTGCTTCATTATTTAGAATATCAAATTCTTCATCTTCATAAACCAATTAACCATTTTCATTTACCATACCTGTTCTATCAAGTTTATATCTTTTTGCAATAGGTATATCATCCATTTAATGAGCAGGACAAATTATATTATTTTCTTCTCCTTCTATCATTCTTAAATCAACAAATTCATTTAATCCATTATCTACAGTCAAATTAACAAAATCAGATGTTACTATTGTTCCAACAAATTGATACATTGAAAATTCTTCTTTATGAGTATTAAAAAATTACTTGCTCATTATAAGAGCTTCCTTGTTTTTCATCACCAACCATTCTTGTTCTACTAATTTAATAGCTTTTGCACTAGGAATTTTCCAAGGTGATGGCAATTCTAATACTAGATAAAAAGAGCATTTCAATTTCTTAAAACTTGGACTTAATCTTGTAAATTTGAATTTAATTGCATGTGCTGGAACATCCCTTTAAGAAATAATAACTGAATCAAGAGGTACTTCTGAAAATCTAGATTTAGACCATATAACAATTTTTTATTCTCTAATAATTTAATCTAAAATAATAATATCTCTATATAATACTTTATTCTAAGAAATGAGCTAATTAATATAAAACTTATTTTTGATATCTTGGATCAATTGTTAGGCTTATTTCTTATTCCAATATACCCCATCTTTAAATCTATTCCAAATATGATTTTAATTGTTCTTCTGCATATTTTGAACATATCTGTCTTATTGCAATTTCATTATATTCCATTTAAGTGGTTCCCATTTATATTAATTATTAGAATGCAGCATGTTCTACTTATGGTCCAAATAATTCAAATTACATAGAAGGTGTAATTTTATATCCTCTAAGTAATTTATACCTTTTAAGTATATCCTTATGCGCTTTATTGTAAAAATGACCAAAATGCAATTTACCATGAACACTTAAAGGACTTTCATGCAAAGTAAATGACTTATTATTATTTAATTTTACTTTAGAATCAACATTTTACTCAAATTTTATGACTTAACTAAGTAATTCGATTTCTCTAGAAGTTGGATGAAACCGAGGATTGAATTTTGTTTTTGGAATCATCAAAAGTTTGGATGTCATAATTAAAATTTAATAAATAAATTAATTTTTACTCACATCTTCTAAATATTTGTTTATAACATAAATTTATAAATATAAATATTAAATATTCAATTTTATTATTAATTGCGACGAATTTTAGATGGTTAATATTAAATACTATTAAAGTTAAGTAACTTATCATATAGACTACCTTTAGTAAATTCTTTTTCAACTCTATCTAATCTATCATCATCTTTTGTAGATTAGTGTAATTAAGAATTAGATTAATAATAACTAAAATTATAATATAAATAATATACCTTTATGTAATATCTACAGAATTTTCTATAATAGTTGATAAAGATTTCCCTCTTTAAACTTAAAGATATTATTAATTTCTTTAATTTCTGGTTCCCATTTTAATGAACCAATGATGATTAAGTGCTTATACAGCTGATAATCTTTTTATTGGTTCTTTATTCAATAATCCTTTAAGTAAATCCATTCCAGATATAGATATTTTTTTACATATTTTTTTTCTATTTTAATCATATTAACATTTTACTCAATTCTAAAATCTATTTCACATCTCTCATTTGATCTAAGTATTTCCTCTTAATCTTTACCTTCGAATGGTAATTTTCCATAAACTAAAATGTAAAATATTATTCCCAATGAAAATAAGTCTACTTTACTTGTATAATTTTTAGACCTAAATATTTCAGGTGCTACAAATCCAGGAGTTCCACATTTCTTATACTAAATTTAATCTGTTGTTTCAGAATAACAGAAATTTGCTAATACAACAAATGGTAAACGCTTCTTTTCTGGTATGAATAAGTTTTCCATTTTTAAATCTCTATGAAAAACTCCTTTAGAATGCATATGTTATATTGCTTATAAAACACCATATATAATATCTGCTACCAATTTCTCATCCAATCCTTATGTTGATTATTCAGCCATCTAATATATTTGTGATTCCTTTATATATGATCTTAAATCAATCCCTAAGTAATATTCATATAATATATATAAATTTTATTCATCTTCAAGTACTTCAACAATATAACATATTTATGTATGACTCAATTTTCTTAAATTACTTATCTCTCTAAATAAATTTTGTTTTTATGTTGCTGTTATAACATTTTTATCTATCAACTTTACAATATGATACTCTGCATCTTGTACTCTTACACAAGAAAATAAACATTAACCAAAAACTGGATCACTTTGTTTTATTTTACCTAAAACCTTATATTTTCTAGCAAATTTATCCATTATACAAAATCTTCTTAAAAACTGAAACCATTTTTTGAAAATATCTGAATTCTCAGTTAATAAATGAGTTAATTATTATCCAAATTATAGTCTAATTCCATATCTATAATTAG